TCAAAAGTTACGATGAACTCATTCGGCACAGCTGGCGTGTAAATGGAACAGGGAAGTGATGCGCTTCCGAAGTTGATAAATTTCAGTGTCTTAACTCCATTATCTCCAGCGATGGCACTATCGAGCCAGAGTTAGATACACCGCCCTACAATCGAGTGTTTTTGGAAGCCCGTTAAACACCTAGACTGAGAAAGAGGATATTCTACCCACGACAATCCTCCTGTACCTTGCTCTCTCGGGTTAGTATTATTGTCCACAGTGAGAAGCTGCTGCGGCATAGTTTGGTTGAATTTCATAAAGCACCGTCGGCTTCGACGCCCACTGAGGATCAAATGACGAGTCCATGTATGGAATGTCTGTATTCCCTTCCGGACACCTCAGTAGATGTGGAAATTGAGAAACTGAGATTTGACTTTTTAAACAAACAGGTTGAGCATACTCCATCTACTCCAGCCAATGGTCTTTTCATGTTGGAGCATAAACGCGGTGAAGTAGACAAAGCACCAGGTGTGAAACACCGAGGAACAAGGTTTAGGCATATCTGCTTACGGAAGTGAAAATTTCTTCCTGCGATTCAGTAACCAATGCCCTATAGCTTAAGTATTGAAACTTTGCGGACATTGTTTATATCACAAATCGCAGACGGTCTGCTTTTGCAATCGGCTCAAGCTGATGATATCAACAAACACGAATAACTCTGGTGGTCATTGTCATTAGTGTCGTTTTGCTACGAATGACAGACGGCTGAAAACTGCTGAAGACTCCGAGAAAATCAAGAACGGGAACTATGAAGATTGAGTTTTCACGGTTAACGAATGAGGCAATGAGAGATAAAGGAATCTGTACAATACTGCTATTTAATAAATTGATCTAGACAATTGATTGACAGCATATACAGTCATTCATAGAACTTGCCGATCTATTGCCAACTGTGCAAAAAGGTTTCGGTGTGTTCGTAACTGTTACAAATGTTTTGCATCTTATCGTTCTGTGCGATGATCTTAGTTTCGGTTTTCATACCGAATACGAAGCTTGATTAGTGGTGAGATTCTTTTAAATGCTCTCAGTTGGATGTAGTCTTTCCGAAACCCTAGTTGTTGCACAGCATGTTATTCCTGCACGCGGTGTCCGTTTCAAGTGAAGTAGAATGAATCGCATGTAGGAAACTAAAATGCAGAGTATTGGATTTATACTTTATCATGTTATTTAACAGCGTTTATACGTAGATGAAAAATACCTAACGTAAATGTTTATCAGCTGGTTTAGCCGAAATGACTTTATGAGTACTTTAAAAGTGTTTGCGTCATGGCGAGCTGTCGATGAGTCGACCCGCAATTCCTCGAGGTTTCGAGCGTCCTCCCTTAAAGCGCGGCTTTCCTGCTCCCGATTGAATCTTCCCATCGTCATGACTGGTGACCCAGCGGCCTAGTCCGCCCGTGAGGATACTGGTAGGCAATCATAGCCAACCATCTCCCGTCGGTAAGCCTAGTTACGTGCCTATTGTAGCTTTTTCTGTTTTCGACGACAATTTCATTCACCGCTGCAAGGGTTGCGGTGTGACGTTAAATTCCTGGGATTCTTCTTTAAATGGTATTATCGGTTACCGACATCTGTTCGGATTTTGCAAGTGACCACGTCTGACACACATTAGTGATTGCCAGCAAGGCGGTAGGATTGAAGAGGTTGACGTATTTCCTTCTTTGTAGCCGAGGAGCACGTCCTTGATGAAAATAAACGCGCGCCTACCGTTCGTCTTTCTCCACTGAATCTCTCCAGCCTAATCATGCTGCATGTTGATCTCTTGGGCCACGTAAATGTATTTATCGACTATTTGATGTTTCCACCTTTTAATATTACCTGGGCCTTTGACAGGGCATTCGATCGCAGTATCTTCGTCTTTAATCCATTTTATTCGCGGTCCGACTTCTGCACTTTTCCTCTCGAGCTCTGACAGCTTGATTGGTAGCGGACTGGCATTTTCTGTAGACAACACACGTCATCAGAACCCTAGGTGGCTGAGCTGTTCACCGTTAATGCAAATCCCACTCTTCCAGTTTATTAGCCAGAACACTATTTGCAAACAGGCAAGGTGAGTCGGCTAGAGATAGTGTTATTTTGGTTCACGACCTTCTTTGCGGGAACCTTGTCAAACAGCGTGATTTTTGTGAAGCAGCCAGAGTTCGTTTACTTTAGAAGGTTTATGTAACAGATATCGATGTCCTGCTCTGCCAGTGCGGTTCACATTGCGTCGAACTCGACAGAGTGAAACCCTTTGTTGTAGCCGATGAAGGCTATGCACAAGGGTAGTTGGAATTCCCTCGCGCAGTCGAAGAGTTGACTCAGTGTAAACTCAGTGTCATGTTAATTTAATGTTATCTATTGTGCTCTAGCTCCTTCGAAATCCTGCCTGTTCTCTCGGCTGCTATTCGTCCAGACTTGTTGACAGTGTTGATGTTGATCATAGTGAATAGCTTGTAGATTTGTAAGGACAGGCAGGTGAGGCGATAGTTCTTAAGGTGTTAATTCTTGCCATTTTTGAACAGCACGCTTATTTTTGACCCCTTCATGCTTGATGGTATTTCTCCGTTTTCAAGCAGCAGCAACGGAACCTCTCCGCTGGAGTTTCCACAACGTCTTATTACTTACTCTGATCATTTTAATTGTCAGACCATCTCTCGCCGAAGTTCTATTTTATTAATTTGCTAGCAGCATGCAGAATTTAGCCTTTGAGAACCGGAGGGGCACTTCTTTCTCGCTGTTGGAGTGAAAGTAAAGGGAAGCATATCTTTAACGCAACTTGTTTGGTGTAAACTTTCTTGCAGATGGACTGCATTTCAACCCTGTCAGACGTTAATGCGTCATGCCCGTTAGTCAGCCCTTTGATGGTCGACTTTCTACAATGATAACTCTCATTATCTGAGGCTTCTACGATCTTCAGCTGTTTTCTCTAATCCTTTCAGTCAGAAAGTCTTCAAGTCGTCTTTCAGCCTACGTGTAATGAGCTCGCATAGAAGAGAGTTCCCCACCACGTTGGTTCTATCTCTTAATCATCCTCCGTTTCTCTGTCAAACTCTTTGTTCCTTCTGAGATTATTGTTTTTGCTTTCTTTAATGTTGCCACATCGACTGACTTTACGCAGCGCCTAAGTTTCCCAGCGAACTTCTCCATTTCGTCGTCGCAGCTGCCTTTTATGCTACAGCTTTTAGTGGAAATGCGCGCTTGGTACACCACCTCGTCGAATGTCTTTGATCGTTATTTGCAGTGCCTTCCTTTCGATCTTCTCCTTGAAGGTTAGTCTCTCCTGCACCCATTTGTGATCACTGCCGGTGTCACATGATGTCACTACTGCAGTATCCCAGATGATGCGACATTTATGGAACAGGACAAATTCGATCTCGTTCCTCGTCTTCGGAATGGCCGCGATCCATGTCCAACTTATGTTGGTCTTCTTGAACCAGATGTTGTCAGTGTATAGGTATTTCGTTTTTGTCATAGTTACCATTGATGAGAAGATAGGTTGGTGATTGGTGACCATTTCAGAATCAGTTAGATGTATGATCAGCGAACTAAGGCATAAGCATAACTACTGGTTGGAAGTTTTTGTTCTATATTAGTTCGGAAATAACTGAACAGAACTAATAATCACTAAACAAACCCCGCACAGATGTCTCTGGTAGCAGCATTGTACAGATGGCGATTTTCTACCAAAGAAATCTTAGTTAAAGAATACAATATTTTTAGACAAATGACACATGAGGATGGTACACTTTTCGCATAAGTTTGCGGGGGATCATGTGTAGAAGAAATGGTTTCTAAGAAGCGTCTGGAACATTTTTCGCCTCAGTTGCACTTCATATTGGCGTAATTGGGCAGAAGCTAAGAAGCAGGCTAGAGAAACATGTGGTTTACCTAAAGGTTTTACCGTGGCGGAGCGGCGAGCATATCTTCACGTAGAGCCACTTCAGGCAGTGGGACTCCAGCAAAGTATTTCAAACAGAAGGTTGGTTCAGAGAAACTGAAGCTTTCATGAGCCATTATACGGAACGAAACCACAGTGAAATTAATAGGCCGGCGGAGAGCTGTACGCACAGTTTGGTTTGAGTAGCGCATCTGTGCCTTGACGGTATGTGTTGGCGTCTCGATTTTGTTTACTTTTTCTTGCTCCATATTTAGAAGTTAATTTGCATGTATATATAGCCAGTCTGCACCTCCTCTATCTCAAACCAAAGCCGCACATCCGGTACCAATAAAGGCTTGTCGTCCAAACGATAGCAACAGCACCACGTTCAAACTATCCTGCGATTGGCTTACTGTTGTGAGAAGTCGCATCGTTGCAGATCTTACTCTCTGTTGGACAGTGGTCGCGTTCTCGTCGATCCGTTCTAAAGAACATAAATATCTCTTCAAAAACTTGTAAAATCTAATTTCAAGCTAATGCCTTGTTTCCCTTGAAATTTTCTATATGCTTAGCAAGTGCTACGGGTACTTTGTAGTAAATCACCATTCAACCGATTTATGAGGGTCCCTAGTGGTCGACTTGCTTTATTCAGTTCGATTCACTTATCACCTCATGCGTTAAAAGAATTTTTTCATTCTTATTTTAAATCATTGCAGCGTTTACAATTTTGATTTTGGGAAGTTCAACCTCCATCAGATCAACATTTAGATGGCAGATTTTTCGATTTGGAATTGTTTCCCAGGACGCGACTGATTACTTTCATCGTACGGAAAGTCTGCCTTATTGTTGGCTGTCCTACCTCGAATAATACGGAATGGAATGCTGCTCGTATATTTTTTTATTCTCACACATACGTTGCGGGTAATGAAGCTTCTGGCAGTATCAGTTAGTGCCAGACCTTCTGAGTGATGTTTGTCGTAATAGTCAGCTCCTTATTAATTCAAATTTGGAGCACCTTATAATTCGGAACAGACATTGTTGTTATCCTTTGGACCCGTGCCTTGCAATCCAGAACTTTTTCTCTAGGGAGGCGCCTTAAGGCTGTCTTAAACTGAATATATTTTACTTGACCTGGATAACATGAACCGACCAGTATTCAGCGATGAATCGCGCCGGCCGCAACACTCTGTATTGTCATAGCGGAGGAAGTTTTTGCTACACGCCGACACGGTCCTGTTTTACCACGCAGACAAAAACGATTTACTTGAACTGAGCAAAAGATATTGAAATGAAAGGTGACCTTTGTTATGGTGAGAAAAACCATTAATAATTCAGTGGTTGTACATTTCTTTGTTAAATAGCGCTAGGAATTTTGACTTAAGCCTTAACTCATGAGTTCTTGTCTTCTTCAAGATGTCCATAACAGATATGCTGTAGACAGTGTACTTTGTAGTAGAACGGTTTTTCAAGTCTTCATTAATATTTAACAATGAGATTTATTTCTTAAATTAACTCCGTTTTCAATCTCGTGTGTTTGCAAACGTACAGGCGGCTACTGCTGGATCGGCTTTAGCGTTTCAGTTACGAATTGGTTCACTTTTGCTGAACAAACTCTAGAGGGATCGGACTAAGACTTTATGCATCAATCTTAATTGATCAGACAGAATGGAAATTAATCAACCACGCCCTTCGCTGGCCATCAGCTACAAACGGACTTTCTGTATATCCTTCGCACTGTCCGGGTCAGAGTAGCATAGTTGCCGGATTCGCAGTCTAAAAATTGCGTGTTCGAATTCCGATCAGGTTACTCGTTCTTTATTCTTTCGCGGTAGATACACTGCTGCTGTTACACGGGTAAAAAACAACGCTGCATTGATACGAATACGAAATCACCAAGATATAGATGATATTTTCAGAAATTGAAGCATTCGTGATTGTTTGGGTGGAAACGGAGTTTAACGCCACATCATCAGCACGTAAATGAACCGTGCAAAAAATGGCACTCCTCATGAAAGTGTGAGGGAAGGCTTTCCGGTTGTTGCAAGTTTTCCTTTCTATTCTCTGTCCTGCCTTTGCAGTCCCAACATCATTGTCTGAAATGCGTCCATAACCGTAGAATTTTGTGTTGCGTTTCTCTCTGCACGTGGTATAGAAATTTTTGCGTTGCTGTTGAAGTTGGAACATTCGCAATTATCTGTCGACCAGTCCACACCTGCGTGCTTGCCAGTGCAATTGAAACCTAGGGAACGGGACGTTGACAGGTTTGCGCACTCGGCGATCTCAATATACATTAGCTTGATGTTCAACATGCAACGTACAATACTGCGCTAGTATTGCGCTCACTTTATATAAGTATGCCGACGAAAATCACATGACTAGTTTGGAGAAGGTTAATGATATATAGCTCTAGAGTTAAATTGCTTATGCAACGTTATAGCCGAAGCGAGAGTTCGATTCCGAGGCACGTTCTTCGTCTGGATGCACTTCGTGAGCAGCAGTCGATACTCCAGTCATTTCATCTTGGTTATGTACTGCAGATATTTCGCCTGCTCTGATGTTACTTTTGAGAGTTGCGCTCCTTGTTTTTCCTCTGTATGGTTGCTTAGATTTCGTTTCTGTCTACGATTCCATCTTCGTGTAAGTGGCGATAGAACTATTAGAGTCGTTTTGCACGGTTTCTGAGCAGATTTCCAACTTCCTCAGATTTTTTAAGAAAAGGCAATTATGTTACGAATTGAGTCAAAGAACTGTACCGAGGTTTGTGCAGAGATGAATACTGACTATCAGCCGAAACGAAGTAGGCGCATTCGCGATATCAGTTTATGTGGGTTCGTACTCGAGATATTGTTACGGTGGCGAAAGCGGAAATGATGCATCGGCGTCGCGCAACAGACGCCAAATAACCGATTGTTTGGTGAGAAGAGGAGATATGCCCCTGCAAGCTGACCAAACTATCACCTTGCGATCGCTGTTGCACGCAGGAGCGTGGACGTTGCATCCAAAATGGATTATTTTGCGAAGTCTGGGTCATGTGCACGTGACGACTAATAGCGGTCGCATCCGGAACTAGTTTAAGATCGTAGTCTTTCGTCGCCGGAACTCGGACGAAGTCGCCGTGTCTCCGCTTCAGTCGACAGCGGTGTCCTCGTGTTCTGTGGGTGCAGGCTGCCCACAGTAACAGGAAGCACAACGGCCAATCGTCGTAGACCTTTGAGCGATCGACCGTACGTTGTTGTGATTTGCGAGCCACAAGTCTTCGGTTGCAGAGTGTTTGCGGTTCCTGGGCGCTGTGGATCCGCTAGCGTTGCGAATTGCCCGTCATTCATACACGCACGCACGCATGCAGATACCCAAGCAGACATTACAAATTGGGTTATGGACTTGTTGTGACCGATTGTGTGAAGGTGCGGACGAAGTGACAGCGTTTCGTAATCGTTCTTTGAAACGGCTTTTTTATCCGACCAGTCTATCGTGATTCCTCCTGTTTTCACAGTTTGTGGCGCGCGGTGATACACCTGATGGTTTGAAGCGTATCACTTTACTATACTAGGACGCGTAGGTAAGGCGATTTTGTTGATCAATCATTGTCAGTGCTTTACCAAGGTTGCGGAGGTTGACGTTCCAGGTCACTGCAGGTTATATTTATGTACATTGTCGATACAACCCAGTAGAAATGACTTGACTGAGATGCCGATGCCATGGTTTATCGTTGTAAATAATTGATTTGCACGAAAACAATTGATTGACTGATAACTAACACCGAATTGTGCGTGTTACGGTGAAGCAACCGCGATACCTGATGAAAATCCGTGCTACCACTTTATCGCAGTCAGTCACAGTTATTACTCGTCTGGTTATATCTGCTGCTCGGACTGTTTGTAACCGATGCGATGTCAGCGACTGCAGCTGCATGGCTAAAGGACGCTTGCATAACCGAATGCAGGGTCGCGAAGCCGATGTCATTTGCACGTAAACAAACACCCTTTGCGCTTTCGATTTTATTGTACTAGCTGCCGTCCTGTTCATCGAACCGCTGGTTCGTTATGGCAGCCTACCTTAGAGATGATTCGAATTCGCGAAAGTGAGTTACGTCAACAGTTGTCAGTGAACGAATTGAGTTGTGAATGAGCTGAACGAATTGTAAGAACGGACCAGTGGATCGCAATTCTGCAAACAGCGGTATTCGCGATGCTCAGGCATGATATCAAAACATCTTTAGTTCTAAAGCGTTGTAAAGCTCCTTTAGATAGCTTCACCAATGCCGTCTGTGCAGTATCGTTCAAGTGCAATGGTACCTCCGGGTCACGAACGAGCAGTTGCTGACGACCACCGTTCTGAGAAGTCTATTAAGTGAACTCAAAGTCCGACACCTGATTTGGTTTCATGAAACGGGTTCCAACGAGCGTGGAGCTCTTGTCAAAACTTCTCTCTTGGGAATCGCCAAGTACCCATACTCGCGTTGGAGGACAATACAAAACATATTAATATCTCGTTGAGGCAGACCTGCAGGAGGAAAGGAATATGACCTTTACCGTAACAGTGAATGTTGCCTAATATTAGTCTGAGGTTCCATTTCTAATGGTCAGGTTGTTTAAGCTTTGCTAGTCTTTGATGACGATGACAGAACAACAAAGATGATGCACAAGATATTGGTGTATTCAGTACAAACGAAATGACGTGCTAAAATACCTTGGAGCCCCAAACCTCTAGATTTTTAGCAAGTTGTGAACGTTGTTTTACATAAACCGTTGGAATTATGATTATTAATACATGTAATTCCCATCTTATTCAGTACCGAAAATGGCACACCCTCAGTTATCGCCACTGACCGATAGCGAACTGTCACACTCCATTTTATCGGTGCTGATGAATCTCACTTCATTTTATCTGCTAAGACACGAATGTTGCGGTACGTTAGAACGAACGCCCTGCTTTTTGAATAGACCAAAGTAGCTGAGCCTGTATTGCTCCGGGTAAGCGGTCAAGATAGCTGGTTAAAATCCCTGTCAGATCATTCGTTTTTCGTCGTCCTTTAGATAAAGGAGAAAACGCATGCTAAAAGTGACACTCGTTATGGAAGTGTATGGGAAATCAGTGCCGTCTGTTATGAAAGTTATTTTTC